TTGAATATTTGGGAATTGGAAATTGACTGGATTGTGAAAAGTGAGTGTTACATAACAGAATGGAGTCAAAACTAAATATACATAAAAATAAATATGGCCAATTTGGATTTCATGTTGATATTTTTTAAGTATTTGTCCACTACCTTTAAATGTCCAAATATTACACTGGAGTTTATTTTAGAATTCCCATTCGCTTTCTTCTTTATCTTTACTCTTTATTTAAAGGCAGTTTGATTTCATAAAATGACTTTAAATGTGAAACATCTGTACTGCAGCTGTAAAAAAACAAACAAACATGTTTTTAAAAAAGAAACAGCTGTTGTGTGTTATGAAAACGTGACACACCACACTTTTATTGTTTTCAGTACTTGCATTACGTACAGTCATCGCCACTACAAATATTCCTACACTCTATTCTGCAGTCTATTAACTAGAAACTTGTCTCTACTGTCCAAATCCAAATCTGCGCCCAAGTTATGACCGTCAAGCCATCAATAATAAGTCAGCCAGTGTGAAAAAAGTTCCTTTCTAATGAATCTAATCTAAAGAAACTGTCACTGCTGGCAAGAAGATTTCACTGCCTCTGCAATTTTGCCTCTACGTAGTTTTCAAGCTTGTTAAATTGAGAGCACGACAATCTATCAGCAGTTTCCTATCAACCCTATCTGCATGAATGATTTGTTTGGAGCGTATTCATCTGTTGTTTAAGCAAAAACAAATCCATTTCTGTATGAAACTTAACTGCTTTGCACCAGCAAACAGCTGTTTTAATTTGTTCATTGTATAAAGCTGCTGCTGGGAAGACTTGGATCCCGTTGTAGCACAGTAATGTTTTTTTAATTTTATTTTTTATTTATTTGTATAATCTACCATTAAGATAAATTACCATTAAGACTCTCGGCTTCAGGTTCATTTAGTTTAGCATCAGTGCAGGTGCCAGACAGCCATCAATCCCAATGTCACTGCAGAGATTGGCTGATTGATCGAAGCGAGTCAAAGCGCAGAAGGTGAGAGAGGTTAAAGCACAATAGAGGGAAGCAGAGGATAACATATTAAAACAATGCTGCGAAATGGAAAAAGGCAGTTTGATTTCATAAAATGACTTTAAATGTGAAACATCTGTACTGCAGCTGTAAAAAAACAAACAAACATGTTTTTAAAAAAGAAACAGCTGTTGTGTGTTATGAAAACGTGACACACCACACTTTTATTGTTTTCAGTACTTGCATTACGTACAGTCATCGCCACTACAAATATTCCTACACTCTATTCTGCAGTCTATTAACTAGAAACTTGTCTCTACTGTCCAAATCCAAATCTGCGCCCAAGTTATGACCGTCAAGCCATCAATAATAAGTCAGCCAGTGTGAAAAAAGTTCCTTTCTAATGAATCTAATCTAAAGAAACTGTCACTGCTGGCAAGAAGATTTCACTGCCTCTGCAATTTTGCCTCTACGTAGTTTTCAAGCTTGTTAAATTGAGAGCACGACAATCTATCGGCAGTTTCCTATCAACCCTATCTGCATGAATGATTTGTTTGGAGCGTATTCATCTGTGGTTTAAGCAAAAACAAATCCATTTCTGTATGAAACTTAACTGCTTTGCACCAGCAAACAGCTGTTTTAATTTGTTCATTGTATAAAGCTGCTGCTGGGAAGACTTGGATCCCGTTGTAGCACAGTAATGTTTTTTTAATTTTATTTTTTATTTATTTGTATAATCTACCATTAAGATAAATTACCATTAAGACTCTCGGCTTCAGGTTCATTTAGTTTAGCATCAGTGCAGGTGCCAGACAGCCATCAATCCCAATGTCACTGCAGAGATTGGCTGATTGATCGAAGCGAGTCAAAGTGCAGAAGGTGAGAGAGGTTAAAGCACAATAGAGGGAAGCAGAGGATAACATATTAAAACAATGCTGTGAAATGGAAAGGGCCAGGCAGAGAGAGACAGGTGGTGAGTGGGAGGAGGTGACGAAAGAGAAAATATAACATGAACAGAAAAGCTTTTAGGAGATAGGAGGAATATTTGTTAAGGAATGAATGGTTGTGTGAATAATCAGGAGGGAGAGGGAACGAGGGAGTTTAGGGATCCTGTGAGGATACGCAGGATTCGGTTATACTTCAGTAGGCGTGTTGACAAGACCCAGAGCGCCGCTACTGTACTAGCATGTCACAGCATTTACAGCGGACATAACACTCACAACGCATTACTCAGCAATTATCACAGCTGGGCTTCTTACACTTGGTTAATGTAATCCTCGGTTATCTTATTCATGTTTCACACAGTTCATACTCTATTCATGGTTAGTAATTCATAGACTTCACACTGTGCGTTTGTTAATGCTGGGTTAAAGTTCTTATTTGGATATTCATGAGGTGATTAACATTGATTGACAGGATGTGACCTGTTTTAATAACTGCTTGTCTGTCTGTGGGAATGTCATCGTGTTATCGCTCTGGTTGTCTTGTGTCTGCTGAAAATATGCTAAATAATAGCATAGCTTTATTGATCCTGTAAAAGTTGTGATGAAACGGAAGCACTGACAGTATTTTTTTCCATATTAGGATGTAAATTCAAGTGAAACAGATTATTAAAAAAGAAGAAAAAAAAAGATTGGTTGGCAGATTTGAATGCAATCTTATTGTAAGAGAGGGGCGGGGTTTAAGCAGACTAAATGATCGGAGAAGTCTCCAGAGAGACGCCCATCGTTTCACCTGAAGATGGAGTTATGACATTTGGAAAAAAAAAAAAAAACTGTGTATGAATGAATCATTCACAGTAAGATCATTGACATGCATTTAGAAAATAGTGTGAATTTTCATTTCACATTTGACTTTGACTTTTCATTTTCACATCACTGTTTCCCTCAGACATGGGTGCATGGAAATTTTCTGCAACTGTACAAAGCACATGAATATTTAATATGACAAGTACTGAAGCTGTTCATAATTGGTTGTCTGTTGCTAAACAACTCACCATGGCATTCTGGCATCACAAAGTATACTTTTGGCACAATTATTTTAACTTGCCAAATCAGTGGTAATCCCCTTTCAAAATGAGTGTTAATGATAGTTAAAACTGACCTTAACCTAGTGTTTAACCAAGAGTTAAATGTAGTGTAGAATCCCTTGTGCATTCGTCTGCAATTACAGTAAATCCACAATAGTGTTTATTCGCTGAATGTCTGAAGCACATTGCACATAAAAATTGTTAAAATCGCCAGTAATTGTCTGATTGGCTGGCTTTATGCAATTTCCAGGGCTCTAACTCTTAACACACTGCTCTTGAGTCAAAGTAGTTCTGTAGTCCACAATTCTTTGTTTTGCAATTATATGTCCCGCAGGGCATCTTTGTTCACATATACAACCCATCATGCAGTGTTATGCAGTTTTACCATTACCATCATTCAACTTACTGTTCATTACTCTTCATAAACACAACTCACACTGCAGTGCTTCGTTGTTCATGTCTACAGAAATCAGACAGCCTCATTCAACATCACACTTAAACTGTAAAATTGCGCAGTTCCTAATGTATTGTGGTAGAAACAGCTTCATTTCCAGGTAATTGAAAAAATCAACCTGTGAAATGATGCATCACCAACTTGGAAGGAGCTTCTATTAGAGAAGTAGATGGCATGCTTGAATGCTTGAAAAGTCTGTCATTCATTTCAGCAAAAAAAAAAAATACGGTTGACGGTTGATGTTTTTTTCCCCTCAGTCCTCAGTTAGCACATGCTTGAATAGATTTTTACCTAAATCAATTTTAACAGATATTTGATATTTGACTCAAAGAACAAACAAACACTTGAACTAGAGCACTTGAACTAGACCTTGAAGTATTGACACAGAAGGGAGGCTCAGAATGAGGTGCTACACTTTAAAAACCACTACAGTTGATTGCAATAAAATGCACATAGGTTGCCCCAAAAATTATATAAAATAAATCACTAGTTTTTTAGACTTCAAGGCCCCCCATTGTCACAGACAATAATTGAAGGTACTTTTCTGGTACTTTTACTGTAATGAAAAAGTTGCTCATTTTAAAACTTTTTAAAATTATTATTATTTACAGAACCTTGAGTGGTAGATTTTTTTGTAATAAATTAAATTATTAAAATAATTAAATCCATTTTTTTCAGGGTTAAAAACATTTTAGAGCTTAACATAACTAGAAAAATGTAAGTCCATTACAAAATTTTTCATGACTTCCCCAGGTCTAGAAATCACACTTTTAAAATGGCCTCATACATTCAGGCTTTCCAAGACCATGAGAACCACTGCAATAAACAAGAGAATATGTGCTGATTAGTGAGACAGTATTGTAAAAGATCGACCCAGAATTTGACACAAGACATATCAAACACACTGATATGAAAGTAATTGAACATACAATATGCAAGCCAATGAGGGTAAAGTGCTTTTTTCATGTATATGTATTTTATTTATTTGTATTCTTTTTTTAACTGTTTTTGCATCATTTATTAAAGTAGGTTAATGTTAATTTATAAATATACAGCAATTCATTTTTAATTCATGGTTGATCATAATACGTCAGCTAATGTAAATTTATACAACTTCAAATGTTTAAAATGTATTATTGCATTACAGTATGTAAACATACAGAACCTTAACTGCAACTTTTTTATATTTAGTCAAATATAAGACAGGAAACAACATGATCCGGATCCAGAGCGCCACTGTGTGCGCTACCCACCAGGACTTTGTCTTCAATGAGCACAAATGAAATGCCATAACACATTTTTCCTATAAGCCTTCTGATGATACTTGCGACATCTGACAGTACAAGAAAATATCAGCCACCTTGGCTCATATTGAATTCTAATGATGCTGCTGATGTTGCTGTCTTGCGATTACTCAGACGTTAATAAATCAGCCTGGCTGTGTGTTCTGCTACCTTGCCTTGTCGTTCCACTTTTAATTAACATACTGCAATGATTAAAGTTTTAACTTAATTATCTTTATCTTTTCTCTTAGGGCATACAACCCTCTGTGGGAAACTGAGTAAAACGTTTCACCAGCACCAAAACACAGAAGCTTTGCTAGATAGAGAGAGATACATAAAGTGAACACAAGTGACTTAAACTGGATGAAGGCGGTGTAATGGAGGAATAAGTGGAGAAGAGTGAAAAGAGAAGAACGAAAGAATGAAGACAAGTGGAAAGCAAACACGTCTTTTCAACAGTTGTTGGTTAAATTAATACATAACAATCGGACGACATGATTGACAGGAGGCTGCTCCTGTTGGTGTCCCTCTGTTTTGTAGGAGGAGGTTGTGTCACTAAGGTTGTTCAGAGAAGGGGAGTGAGCTCAATTCATGCCCAGCATACAGGAAATGGAGCAACTGACCAATGGGATACAAGTCCGGAGAGGAATGGCAATACAATGACAAGACTCAAAGAACTGATTGGTCCTGAGGAAGTTGAAGAGCAGATTACAGCTCACCAGAGCCATGGAGCTTCTCCTGTCTTCACCAAGGAAAACTTTGTTGGGTTTAATGCCAAACCTCCAGTACAAATAAACGAAGACTCAGATCAAGCAGATTTAAAGGTACAAGCACCAATCGATGACACTAGAGACATTTTAGAGTTTAAAAGAAGTAGAAATAACACAAAGAAAGGTGGAAGAGTTGACAAATGGATCCCGATGCACCACAGGACAACTTCTGGCATGCACTTCAACAGAACCAGATTCAAAATCCCTTCAAGATCCAGAGCAAGTTCAAATTCTGCTGTTCACACAACAGTGGGTACAAAAGCAGTCACTCCAGATTCCCCTCGAAAATTGAACCTGACTGGAAGCTTATTAAAACTGATATCTAAAGAGAACCTTGTACGGATTGTGAATTCCCAGCTTCAGAGTGTCCCAGGTCTAAATATTCCAGTTAAAATGAGTCACAGTAGGAAAAGGGATTTGATCAACATGGATCACAGTCAGGTGGAGGCATTTAAAATGAAAAAACAAGACAGGATAGGCACTCCTGAACTTTATAACTCGGACAATCAGACTGCGGAGCTACATTCAAGTACTTCTACAAATACCAGTTTAAATTCAGATCAGACGGTTCACACTGTCTTTAAACAATTTAGCGGATTCAATATGGATCTAGGCGAGGGGGACAGAAAAATGGAGGTGAGAGGTGCACTGGGCTCTGCTTCATGGAAGTACAAACACTTCACTACTCACTTAGCATCAACTCCCCAAAGTGAGATCATGCCCGTCACGGAGACGAATCCCTTGGCTGGTCAGAGCGATATGGGCATATCACACTCTCCGTCTCAGATTGGCTCGGGACATCGGCCTGATGCTTTCAGCTCACTGACTGAGAGGAGTCTTGACATTAAAGAGGAATCAGATCAGAGTGTTCGTATGCCATTCGGTGTCACTCAGAATCCATTGATTCAAATTTCAGAACCCATTGACAGCAGTCACATCCTAAAACTCCCACCAGATCCACAATGGGGAGGGAAGGAGGTGGATAAGAGCGGAGACTCTCGCCCTGGCAGAGATGGACAAGGCCTTGTTTTCCAGGAAATGGATGAGGATGAAGATGAGGAGCGGAATCAACAAAAAGGGGAAATCTCTCGATCCAGAAGACGACGAAGCTGGATCTGGAACCAGTTCTTTGTCATTGAGGAGTATGCTGGTCCAGAACCAGTGCTCATTGGAAGGGTAAGAACCCCTTATGTTTCCCCTAAAAAGATATAGTTATGCCCCGAGTTATATTACGCCCCGAGTCTAGGGGTAGTAAAAATATAGCTCTTAACAGGGCATAATAAATCTGGGTTGTGGTAATGGAATCCCAAGTACGAATCACTCCGGTCGATAATCAAACAAATCCATGATGTTAGTCAGATTAAAGGATTAGATTTATTTTAAAACAAGTAAGTGAAATAAAGAGCATCTCTCCAGGATGTCCCAAAGGCCAAAATAACAAACAAAACAAACCTAGAAAGGAAAAAATAGATAAATAACCTAATCGAATAACGAAATAAAAATACAGCT